CCCCCCCTTTCCCTTCCCCTCCTCCTCCTCCCCCATAATTCGTGGCTTGACTTTCCACCTTGCGCGGTCTCTCCCTCTCGCTCCCCTTCGTTCCCTCGATCCTCTCGTCCCATCTCGTCCGAGGACCGTCTAATGACAATACACGGGCGCCGTGCTCGTGAAAATTAAAATTCGCCCGGGGGTCGTACACGACGTTTCTCGTACAGGTGTGAGTGCGTGTCCAGGGTCCAGGTGGTCGTGCAAGATCGCGGGAGAAGCGATACCCTCGCAAGATACCTCCCGAAATACAGTACCGCGCAAAAGTTTGGTCTTAATAACGCGCGGTCTAAGACAGCAATGGCGGAAATTATGCTTTCGCGATGTCATATTATTTATTTTATTTCCGTTTCCATTCTCTTGTATCATGATTTTTATCGTGTTTCTATAATTCTGTAGCGAATATGTTGGATTTGAGAGTCGGTTTTCGGTTTAAAGGATTCTCCCAAGGGTCTGCAATAATATTACGATAAAATATAAAGTGCATCAGGATGTCTGTTTCCTTCTCAGTTATTATAGTAAGTTGTGTAATTAAGCTTGTAAAATCTCTGTACCTGCCGAGTTAAATTTTTTAATTAAGAAAATAAATGATAGAGAGATACTATGTGTTTAAGAAACTGATATATTGGCTTTCGAATTTTAATTGAAAATTTTTGAAACAAAGATTTATGTATTTGCTACTTTTAGAATTTAAAAGAGTTCCCAATATATATCGATTTATCATTTGGATGAGCGTGCAATGCGTAAACTGTTAGCTTCTGAAAACTAATTGAACAAATCAAATTCAAATAAAAAAATAAAATGAATATATAAATGAAAAGAGACAGAAGAAAATCTGAAAAAATACGAATATATAATAAATAATAAATAAATATAAAGATAAGAGATTCTTCTAGTTTAGAAAATTACGAGACCTGTATCGATTTTGATATTCTTTCCCCATCTCGTCCCGAAAGGCTCTTTATAACTTCCATTTTTTTAAATTTTATTACACATTTTATGATATTTTATTGTTAACGTGTCAAAAAAAATAAATATATCTTTCCATTCAGAGATCTATTTCTCCCTCTTTCTCTCTCTCTCTCTCTTGTTCCATTACTTGCTAAAACAAATCCCTTCTAACTAGAAGTCCGACTTTTGTTCTAGATTTGCTCGAGAAAAAGAAAAGGTAAATATCGGCAAAACCAAATTCCCCTCCCACGTTTCGGTGCACATACGTGAACGTACGTCGTAGACGAGAGAAAAGACGATGCGGGGGAGCGTGGAACTCGTTAAGCAGTTTGCGGTTTCGTTCCGTCCTTTTTTTTCCACCCGGGCGCGCCTTTAGCGTAAACATATTCCGCGAAGAGATCAGCATCTTTCTCTCCCTCTGTGCGTGTATGTGTATGTGTATGTGTGTGTGTGAGAGAGATGCGCGCGCGCGCATCACTTTTTCCTCCTCTTTATTTCTCCTACCGGCCGTGTCTCTCCTCCCTCCCCCTCGCCTCCCCTCTCGCGTGCGTCTTTGTTTCTTATTACGTGCCTGGTTTCTGGTATTTAGATTCCGCCCACGATTGAATTTCTCACGACGTTAATTTAAGGAACGACAAGAGCGCGTAAGGTGATTACGTTTTTTTTTTTTTAAACCGCAAAATAAATAGAAATGTCCATTTTCCTTCTCTTTCTCGGGGAGAGGAATTATCGCGAAATGAAATGTTCCGAGGATCGGTCTCGGAGCCTCCCGATACCGCGAGGACTCGTTCTTTACTTGGTCTTCGAAAAATGCGCGGGAGGAGGAGGGGAGGGGGAGGGGGCGCGTTCGTCTCCGAATTTTATTTCGCCCGCGAGATTTTCGGCTTCGCGAATCTCTAGTTAATCACGTACTGAGAATGCCGATCTATATAATCTCTATGATCGCGAAAATATATGACCGACGAGGAAGAGGGGGTGAGGGTGGGGGCGATTCGCCCAGAGAGAAAGAGAAAGAGAAAGAGACAGATTAGACGCCGATTAAAATTCACGGCGTGTCCGGGCGGCATAATTTGATTTCGTAGGATCGAGTTACATCGAAACCTTTCTTTTTCTCCCCCCTCCTCTCCTCTCGAATTTTCATTTATGCAATAATAATTATTATATTATAATTGAATACATAAATTTCAAAAAAATATAATTATTTACTTATTGAATAATTCTCATGTAAGAGAAGAAAAGTTGGTAATTTGGGAAGAAAAAAAATTAGAAATATCCTTGAAAAAGATATTTATTCGCATAAATTACTTAACCAGTCATTGCAAATATTTCTTGCGTGTTTATAAAGAAATATTTTCTCCTTAAAAATCTGTTTAAAAATCGTTCTTTTTTTTCGATTCGGCGCAACCCCGGATAACTCTTTTGACGATTAGTAAGATCGAAACGCGCTCATTATTGATTCGCCACGATAATTAAACAAAATAAACTCGCGAATTTTGCGAAGATCGAGTTACACGCGATGCGAACCCGATTAATTTCGTTCGATTAGACACGAGATCGGTGATATTTTCCCTCGGAACGAGGGCCTCTCGGGTCTACCCTTCACCTCTCCTTCTTCCCGCCCGTTCGATTTGCACGACCTGTAAATGTCTCATAAATATTTCTCTGTTCTTGACAGTCTCTCATTTCACATTGAGAGAAATTGTCGTTGACATTTAAATATATAATACAATATCTATCGTTCTATAGTTTCCAAATCTTGAGTTTTTTTTTCTCTTGATATAAAATAATATAAGAAGAATATAAGAAGAGAAATATCACGAGAAAATTAATAACACGAATTTTTTAAACTAATATGTCTTTTTTTTCTTAGGAATTAAATACTGCATTTTTTTAATTTGTAAATTTGCTCCGCTTAATTAAATTACTCATTTTTTGTTTATGTGCTAAATATAATGCGTAAAATATAATATACCTTATTAATTATTAAAGAGAAAATATAGAAAATATATTTTATTAATTATTTATTAATTAATAATTGATAAAATAATTGATTATTTATTTAATTAAAAAGTTACACTTTTTAATTACACAATCTGTACATGTGTATACAAAACGGTTTGTATGATTACATACAATTAATAAAATAATTGCGGATTCAGTTTTTGTATAGAATCCCCGAGTAGGTAATTTTTTTCGCTACCGAAAGCGAGTTCAAGCCAATCGATTATTCACGTTTGTCAATCGTATCTCGTGAGATTTGTGCCGTGCGATTCCGGGTCGCTTTGAATTAGCGGGTGGTCCGGCGTGTCGGTCGACGACGGGGGTGGGGAAGGTGGGAAGGGGGGCGGGTGATGCTCTCTCCTCGCCGTTTCCCTTCCACTCTAAATCTCAGACTGGATCGGGCCGCATTAAGAGTCGGACAGCATTAAAGCGTTGTTTAGCAGGCTATTTTGAATTTTAATTCCCGCGGCCCCGGCAACGTAACCGAGGTGTGGAATAGATTAGTTTTCGCTCGCACACGACTGTCAGCTACTTTGCCGCGGGGCCCCGACTGATTGACCGACTTGATCGCAAGAGCGACAGATAACTCCCCCTCCTCTCCTACACACCCTTGCCCTTCTGTTTCTCCTTCATTCACCTCTTTTTATCGTTTTTCCCTTAATTCTGCATTAGTTCGTCCTCTTTCTCTCAACGATTTTCTTATTTCAATCTCTAAAGTTCTCTTAAGTTGCTCTAATAGACTGATTGGTGCAAATTTCGAGTAATCGAATCAGACATTCAAAGCGATTGAATGAGATATTCATAATCGACAATCGTGTACTAATTATACAGTAAAAATATGGATAAGAGTATAAAATTTCAAACGAATTAAGAGATATAAATTTATTGTAATTTTTATTAGGGTTGCACAAGACCCAAGACAAGACAATTCGTAAAAATATTGTATTGGTATTGAAAATTTTCAAAAATTTAAATCTTGTCTTGGTCTTGAGTGAATATTGGTAGCAAAAATCTCGTCTTAGTATTGTCTTATCTCGATTTTATTAACAATTTTTTATCTAACATTAAAAAATTATTTAAATAATATTTAACATAATTTTTGTAATATAATTTGAAATAATTATTACTATTGTATTATATTTTAATTATAATTATTACTATGTAATCGATATAAATGCCGTCTATTTACATAAAAAACATTTACTGTTTCATGGAAAACAGAAATTAATAACTATTTACAGGCTCCAAGGGAATGTGCAGATATAAATATTTTGGAGTGGTCAAAAAATTAAGTTCATATTTATCCCACATTGTCAAAAATGGCTCGAGACATTTTAAGTTCAACTGCCTCGTCCGTGCCAGTAGAAAGACTTTTCTCAATAGGAACTCTGACTATGTCAAAAAATAGAACCAGATTACAAAGTAAATCTTTAAAAGCACTAATGTGCATCAATTCCTGGGTGAAATACTCTTTAATGTCTAAAATTTGCGAGTTTGATTTCTAATTAATAAAAATGTTACATTGTATTAATATGAAATGTTTTTAAATTTATCAATATAAATGTTTCTATTGAATAACATTTTTTTAAATTCGTATATAGTGATATTGTTTTCATTTACAAATATAAATATTTTAGTTTTTTGAGAACCATTAATCTTGACAAGACTAATAATCTTGACAGTCTTAGTCTTAGTATTGTCTTGATAACTAATTAAAAATCTTGTCTTGATCTTGTCTTGAAATTCAAGACAAGACAAGACAATATCAAGACTAATCTTGGTATCTCGTGCAACCCTAATTTTTATATGAATTTCTCTAAAAAAATATCAGTAAAAATGAATTTTGACTGCAATATTTCTCTACCTGCTAGATTTTAATTGCAGATATCTCTTATATATATCTTCTCAATCGGCGGAAGATTATCGTTTAACGCGGCAATTTTCCGATTGCTCGCAGGAGGAGGAAACGGCGGTGACAATCGGCGGAAACGACGGAGGATCAGGCTCGCTCGATGAAGACGCCGCGCGTCTTGGCTGCTCTGGAAAAAGGAAAGAGGAGAAGCGCGGCCGCGGTTCAAGGTCGCTCGTCTGGAATCCAAGTTCGGCTCTCTCGTTGTTGCCTCGCGGTAAAAAGAAGAGGGATGATCGATGGTGAGAATCGACCGGGCTAGTCACTGTGGCTTCGTACAGGAGAAGACATCACGTTGCGGAGGAGGTGCCGGGACTCTACATTCGGCGCCTGACGCTTGAGGATCCGAGGAGGAGGGAACCGTCCGGTTCAAGGTCGCAGTCCCCGGCGCGCCATATCTGTCATCCTCGTAGCAGCGGCTACGCGCGCTCCTCGCGAGGATCCTCGAGGTACGAGAGAGAGAGAGAGAGAGAGAGAGAGAGAGAGAGAGAGAGAGAGAGAGAGAGAGAGAGAGAGAGAGAGAGAGAGAGAGAGAGAGAGAGAGAGAGAGAGAGAGAGAGAGAGAAAAAAAAAAAAGAGAAGAGAGAGAGAGAGAGAGAGAGAAGAGAGAGAAAAAAGAAAAAAAAAAAAAAAAAAAAAAAAAAAAAAAAGAGAGAGAGAGAGAGAGAGGCGCGAATTCGATGTATATCACATGCATATACAGGGTGTCCCAGATTTAACGAATCAGCTGTTGATGATAGATTCCTGAGATCATTTGAAAACGAAGATCTTAGTAGCAAAATGTTGAGAAAGATTTAGCTTCCGCGCTACAAAAGATTAAAGATTACCAATCAGCGTGTTACGTTCCTATGCTCAGGGACCTAGTGCATCAAGAGGATCGCATACAGCTCTATAATATCGATATCGTTAGAAGGATCGATATAAAATAAAAAATAGGATTTTGCAGTGAGCGCGATTGTGTCTTCGATGCGATAGTAGTCAGTAGTTTGGACATTTTTATGAAGTCTTCCTCAACATTTTGGTATTAGAATTTTCGTCTGAATTAACGGCTGATTCGTTAAGTCTGGGACATCTTGTATACCCTAAAGTCGAGGTGTCCAACAAAATTCAACTAGAGCGCGATGATTGACAAGTTAGATTTCTCCCTTCATTCTCTTCCTCTCTTCAGCGAGATCTTAGAATACGAACCGGCAATTAGGCGGTCGAGAAACTGGTTCCCAAGGAATTTCCGTGGGATCCATATTCTATATTTGGAACATTTTAACACGTCGTTCGCTCTGTTTACGCGATGGGATAATTTTTTTCCCCTTTTTTAATCACTCGTTCTAATTTTTCTAGAAAGTTAGTCAATCCACCTCTCTCGAATTTTATATCCTCTCCATCATTGCCTTCTGTCAACATGTATTCTCTTACTGCTCGAAGCAACTTGGTCGGGATGTAAACCACGAGGGGGGTTAACTCATGATCCGGGGTCGCTTATTGAATGATTAGCCTCGTATCGCGCACTTATTTAACGCGCTTGCGCCAAAGAGAGGGATCTCGTGGATCAGCTCTAGCGAGATCTCGGCGTCGCTCGGACTCGTCGTGTTCTCTATAGGACCCCGTAATTAAACGCACTAAAATTTAACGGTCGTACGCGGGCGATCGACTGCGACTTAATAAAAGACTCGACGCTATTAAGCGGCTCGCGCATTAAAATACGAGCAGCATCGGTACGTCATTATCATCGACATTTCATCTCACACTCTCCCCCCTTTCATTCCTCGCGTCTCTCTTCCTTTCCCCTACGAACTTAGGCGGACCTGACCTCTCGATATCCGGGCAAGGCCATCCAGTTTACGTGCATATATCGCGAAACTTTGAAACGTGCTCTCGTTTCTCGTCAAACGGCCGAATCCTCCCACGTTTCGCCCGAATTTCCTTTGATCTGATCTCTTCCTTTGCCCGAAAGTCGTCCGAGGCTAAGCCTCGTGGAGCTCGCTCTTTCCCTCCTTTCGGCAATTACTTCTATTGTAATTCGAGGCTCAGTCTGTAGACCACCAAGTCCCTCGAATTCTTGTCGCAGGAGTGGAATAAAAGATGTCCTTGATCGATAAGAAGTCTCAACGATAATAAATTAGACGCATAAATTAAACTATAAATGTACACGCACTGTCTATCAAATACTTATTGCTAGCGTTATTTCTATTTAAAAAAAATTGATCATAATTTTCTTTTTGATCGATTCCTTATAATCTGTCGTTATTGCTTCGAATACCTCGCGTCACTCTTTATTCACTGTTCTCTTTTATATTTATGTTTTTATATTTATTCCTTTTTATATTTATATCCTTTATATCCCCCTGGCATTCGCGTGCTTTGACTTGATTTTAATTTATCCTTAATATAATGTCGTAAACACGCAGCTAAATTATACTTTTGATTGTAGGCTTTATTTATAGTCGTAATATTTATCTTTCCCGAAGAAATGCAAACGCACGGTGGACTGATAAATTTACCGAATCATCTCCCGTCATGATTATTTCCAGAGTGTGTCCAGGGTATTATTTTTCCCCTCGAGCTCTCTCTCTCTCTCTCTCTCTCTCTCTCTCTCTCTTTCTTTCTCTTTTCTCGCGCCCGATCTTCGTTCTCCACATCGCGCGAGCACTCGCCTTTTTGCTCCGGCTATATTTTTTCATCCCCTCTTCTCGCCCAGCTTGCGGTTCAAGGTCGTAATCTTCTCGAGACCTCCTTTCTTTCAACCAGTTCTCCGCTTCGCCTCCCTTTTAATCTTTTTCTTCGGCCAGTTCCTGCGCCTTCGTTTTCGAAGTTCAAGGCCTTCCTCGATTTCTTGAATGTGCTCTCCCGACACTTCTTCCTCGTGTACCAGCGTGTATATTTTTTCGTCAATCCTTTACCCCCTTTCTCCTCGTCTTTTCCATCCGCTTCACATCGTGTTTCATTTCACTCGAAATCCCGTCTTACAGATTTCTCTCGTGGTTTTTCTTCTCCCTTTCGTCTTCGGGTTGCACCCACTGGTCAAACTTTCTCGCTTCCCTTTCATTCTGCGATTCAAGAACTTTATTCCAATCCTTATCGAATTTTTTTATTTTCCTGTTTTTCCTTCTTTTTTTAATTTTTCACATCAGTTATATTTTCCTTCAAATATTTTTCCTCGAATCTTATTATTGCTTTTTATACGTCACAAGTTTTTCCTTTTGTTTGTATCTTATTTTTTTTAATAACTAATTTCCTTTTTATGTCACTTTCGTTCTTTCCATCGAGATCTGCATCATTTCTCTTTACCGTCTCTCTCGATCTCTTCTTCTTCTCGACGTTTCCTCTTTGAAGCGTAGTACCCTCCAAGAACCTACAATCACATCTAGTTATCCAGTTGTCTGAAGTTGAGCAAGGCGAATAGCCTTTCCCGATGTCATTACGAGCCCTTTCCACCGTTCATGTGCAATCATCGTAGCGAACGATCATTGTAAAATAAACGAGATGAAAAGTGTTGCCGACTTTGTCGAACCCAGCGATTCGAACCCAGCGAATTCGAAAGACACGTCGTCATTTTTATTTATTTCTTCGCGAATGTCAAATATATTTTGCGATATTTTTTATCATAACTTTTGCCATTTAAATTTGCATTAATACATTTTAACAAAATGTGGTATAATTTAATTATTATTACTATTAATTAAAAATATACGTTTTTTTATTTTTAATTTTTATTTAAATATTTAATTTATTTTTATTTCATTTATCGTTAACTTCTTCTTAATATCTTTCAACGTGTGTGTGTGTGTCTAGCTATAGATCGTGGCTGGAAAGGATCCGGAAGGAGAGTCCGGCCTTCTTGACAATAGTATCCTTGGAGCTTCCGGAATCGCCGATTCCCTTGATAGAGTCTCAAGCAAACGCGCGGTGCAGACGTAATGTCTCTGATGAAGTCGCAAACGACAAGGATGACATCTTAGACGAGTTTCTGGAGAAGGTCACGCAGGCCGGGAAGGATAGGGAGAAGGAAAGTCGCGCAGGAAGGAACAATGTATTCCGGAGAAGTCGGCGGGATAACAGGAAGGAGGGCGACTCTCTGGAATGTACGAAAACTCTAGCCACCCTCGAGGAATGCACGAGAAACATTATTGAAGGTATGATTATATGTGTATATATTTTTTTTTCTCTTCGCGATAAAAGGAAATAAACGCGCGTGTGGAAATAGCTGGAGAATTATGGCTCTATTAAAGTTTAGCTGAGAAAAAGCCGGGCTCGCATTCTTTGAAAAAGTCGAAAAAAATGTATAGAATGCATATAATACTCCACATAATTTGCCGTGCGTTGGAGCAAACTAGTGGACAGGGATGGAAGGTTGCATTCCTTCAAATGTAAGTATTTAAACCTTACTTTTAGCTTTTTCTGTTTTAGATTTATTTTCTAATAATAAAAATAATATTTTAAATAAATTAAATTCTACTTAAATAAAATAATTTTTTTAATTATGTTGAAGTAAAAGTTCAATTTAGTATTTAAATAATTTAATTGACTTTAACTCGGAAAATAAAATTATTTATCATAATTATTAATAAAATTAAAAACTTTGGCTTTAATTTTAATATTAATTAGGATTGGTTTTTAAGATTAATTCAATTAATTAATTTTTAGATAAAGAATTTATTGCAATTTTTTAATTTAAAGGAAATATTAAAATTCAAATAATAATAAATTCAAATAATTAATTTAAATATGTATTTATATATATTTTTAAAATACTTTAAAATACTTTTAAATATTTTAAAAATACAACTTATATAAAGTCTTTTTTCTCCGAAAGTAATAATAAAATTTTTTAAAACAAATTAAATTTTTTAATTGATTTTTCTACATATTTAATTGTTAGCCCATATTCAAAATATGAGTAATAAATGATGATAAAATTATAATTTTATTTAAATTAAAAAATATAAATATAAATTAAGAGAATAAGTAAATTTGTAATTTTAGTATCAAAGATTCAAAAAATCACATTAATTAAAAATAATTGAAGAACATTTTAAACATTATGATTAAAAATTAAGTAAAATAAAACCTCCAAAAAATTAATTGGTTTCTGATGATTCAACTGTCCGTGAAATTGACCGTATCAAGATCGTAAATATTGCAAAGGATGCCACAGAAAGTGTGTATTTTTACATTTCTCGACTTTACATTTAATCATCGATTATTCTTGGAATTTATAATAATTTATCGATAACAAGATCTTATATTTTTTATCCATCTCCGCCCGATTCGCCCCGAATAAGGCACCTTTGGAAGCACCTCGCTCGCTTCTAAGGATGAAATCTATTCGGCCGAGAACGAGATCGGATTTCAAGGGCGAGGAATCGTCGCAAACGGACCTTGAAATCGCTCGTCGATACCTCTCGTGGCGATTTATCGAAATTTTTCCTCCGGCCCGAAAGGAAGAGCCTCGAAATCACGAAATTCTCGAACGGCAATATCGAATTTCAGGACCGAGCCGCGAGGGATCGAGTCGACGGGGCGTCGGCGACGATTGCATATGCTCCGAGATACCGAGGGACCTCGGAATCGACGAGACCACGAGTCCGGAAGTGACTCATACGATTCGAATCGCGATGAAGTGTCATCGTGGCCGGTCGGCGCAGGAGGAGGACGACGACGAAGAGGACGACGACGAGGCGAACGAGCGGCCAACGGAAGAGGAAACGGGGGCGGGAGGGGAGGAGAGGGCGAGGAGTGACAAGAGGGATCTTCAAGGTCCGTCGAACGCGAGGAAGGAGCCGGTGAAGCACGACGTTTCTCGCTGCACCGTCGCCGCAGGTGCGAACGCGGCGTTGGACTTGACGCTAAATTGCAATAGCGTGCGACTGACTTTTCGTGACACGAGCCTGAAGGCAGCGACGCGAGGCCGAGAGGTAAGAACGGCCGGAAACGGTCCAGAGGGGACCCCGCGTGGGTTTCCTCTCGAAAGTGGATTTTGCTGCGCGACGGGGATGTTTCTGTAGCTTCAAGAAACAGGGAAAATGTCGCGACTATTAACAACTTATCTCCCTACCTGTTCTTTCCCCTCCCTTTCTTCGCTTCCTTCCCTGACAAGATTCCCTTCACTTGTCCGCGTTCAATTATAAATTCATCTTCAAGCAGAAATAAATAGGAGACTTTAAAAATTGTTTTCGAATTAAATCTCGATGTAAATTTCTTCGGTTTTAGAATGGAATAAAGGTCGCGCGTGCATAGCGGAATAAATTATTAGATTGATGATAGTTGCCATAATTCCTCGAATCGACAGTTTTTTTCAATAAACTTAATGCGTGAGAGCGAATTTTGATGGATCGAATGTCGAATTAACGATACGATCGGCACGATAATTCGCAAAAACCGGTAGAGATTCATAATTCCAGGATTCGATTCAAATAAAAATTCCGAAAAACTGACATAACATCAGTGATGAAATGCTTGTATATTTATCTGCTATTTACGACATTTTTAGAGAGTTTTCTATTTATTTACTTGCTTCACAAGATGAATTATTAAATGTGCGAAAAAAGATGAATATATGCAAGTTTTTTTACATCATGCAAATTTATATACAAGCAAATATGTTTCACAAGTAGGATATTTTTGCGTATTTAAATTTGAAATTATTTACGCTTGAGATATTTGTAGACATTTAATTAAAAATCTTGTCTCTCGTATAAATCCCAAGAATAATTAAGAAATGAAATTTATTGTTATAAATTTGTATACGGGGTGTCCCAGACTTAACGAATCAGCTGTTGATGGTAGATTCCTGAGATCATTTGAAAACGAAAATCTTAGTAGCAAAATGTTGAGGAAGATTTAGCTTCCGCACTACAAAAGATTAAAGATTACCAATCAGCGTGTTACGTTCCTATGCTTAGGGACCTAGTGCATCAAGAAAGCCGCATACAGCGCGATAATATTGATATCGATAGAAGGATCGATATAAAATAAAAAATAGGACTTTGCAGTAAGCGCGATTGTGTCCTTGATGCAATAGTCAGTAGTTTGAACATTTTTACGAAATCTTTCCCAACATTTTGCTATTAGAATTTTCGTCTCCAAATGATCTCAGGAATCTGCTGTTAAGTCTGGGACACCCAGTATATAATTTCAAGCATAGACGTTCCAAATATAAGATATCACGTGGAAGAATAACATGACTGAGATTTTAGCGTCCAAGAGATCAGGTAAGCGCGATTCATGAAACCGTTCGTCTCGACAACGGTTCGTTCAACGTGCGGTGCAAAACGGGATCTCTCGTTGACCGAATCACCGAGATTCCCGGTGGGAAGGGACGGAGGAAGGAAAGGGGAAAATTTCTGAATTTCGCTGTCGGAACCGCTGTTTTCGCAAAAAGCCGCTCCTTTCCCGAAAGGAGAGCCGCGCCGAACGCGAGGAGAGACCGAAGCCGGAATCGTGAATCTCCCCGGCCGCAATAAATCGCAATCGCCGCGATTCGATTTCTGCGAACGCGCGCTAGAAGAGCGCGCGGGGGGAGGGGGGATACGTCGAGGCGGCCTATTAATTAGCTCGTCTAATAAATCGCGACCGGATCCGGGACGCGAGGGGTGAGCCAGAGGAGCGAGACGCTATCGCTCCCTCTCTCTCCTCCTCCCCCTCCCTCTCTCTCTCTCTCTCTCTCTCTGTCTCTCGATCACTCGCGAGGATAAGAAGAAGCAGCGAGAATAGCAGAGAACAGATGGAACGGGAAGAAGGAAGAAGTGGGAGGAATGAGCGGGGGGGGGGGAGGAAGCGAGAGATAGTATGCCGATCGAGTGAAGCTGCGACGGAGGGGGGGGGAGGAGGAGGCGGACGAAAAAGAGAGACCGCCGAGTGCGAGTTTGGCGGTGGACCGGCGCGAGATGAGAATCGCGCGTCTAGGGCCCGGGGTCCGTGCAAGTTTGGACCCCGAACCGGGTGAGAGAAGTTGGCCGCGCTCCTCCCGCCCCCTCTCACCCCCTTCATCCCGGTTTCGTCCTCCTCCGCGTCTTCCTCCCACTCTCCCTCTCTCTCCCTCTCTCTCTCTCTCTCTCGCGGGACGGACGCGTCGTGTTTTTATTTTGTCTGTGCCGCGCCGCGTTGCTCTCTCCCCCTCCCCCTCTCGCCCCTTCCTCCCCCTCCTCATCCCTCCCTCTCTCTCTCGGTCTTTCTCCGTCTCTTTCTCCGTCTTTCTCTGTCTTAGGGCGAAAATGGTTCATGGCCGTTCCCCGAGCGCCGATTTCGCCGCGAATCCTGCGCGGAGGATCGACCTCTAACTCCTTTATCCTGGCCTGGACGCGGTCTGGTCCTGCCGCTTTATTCGCCACGCTACTTTGCTCCGGCTTCGCAGTCGCGTCGCGGTTTTTCACCGCGGTTAACGTCCCCCCTTCTTCATGCACGCGATCGCATCGTTCGCCTTTTTTAACGGGCCCTAATGGAATTTCTGTTTTCTGCCGGCTAGATTATACCAGTCGCGTCTCTCCTCTCTCTTTCTCCCTCTTCTCTCTCTCTCTCTCCCGCAATCGCCCGTCGGAGAGAGTTTCGTTACTTTATAATGGACGGTATTGTGTTGGGCGATATATTGGCCGAACAATATGCGGCTGCCGTTTATCACGCGAAAAGTCGTAAATCAATTTTCGAAGCATAATAAACGAGTAATGAGCGAATATATTCATGCGACGTGCTCCTTCGAAACACGAGCATTTCTTCAAACGAACGATTCTTCGTTTATAAATTATCGGCCGGGAGATCGATACGACTCAAAATAGTGCTCAAAATTAATGACTCGTATAAGTTATCAACGGGAAGATCATTGTCTCTCCGGCGCGGCAAAAAAAGCCTCAACATCTATATGTAAATTACTCCGTCGAGTTGAATTTTATTTTATTTTGCTTCTTTTTTTCTTGCGACATGTGTATTCTTCTACGAGTTATACATCATTTTAATCTCGTTGTGTGTATTCTTGATATTATTTTAGATTCGAATCACATTTTTCTCCAGCCTTACAAGATCCAAAACCTCCTGATAATAATATAATATCATAAAAGAAATATTATAAAATTACAGTATCATTAATAATATCATATATATTAATTCATCACAGTTTTTCTAGCTCGCAAGATTCCAAAACCTTAATAATAATACAGTATAATGAAAAAAATATTATAAAATTATAGTATTATCAATAATATCATATAAATATTATTTCTCCAGGTGGAATATTTTTATCTGCGAGAAGAGACTTCTTATTAAAAAAAAAATAATAATAATAATCGTGTCTCTTGTAGTCTTCTTAGAATGCATTTTCCGCGGTTATATCATAGCTGACCTAAAGAAGAGCTCATTAACTCTGCGATGATCGCCTAATTAAACTGCGCGTCCGATGAGCCAGGACCCGGTCGATATTTCTTCCGTAAATAACCATCCTTTGCGTGTGTCGTTGCCAAGGGAGAGCCAAGAAAGAGGGAGGGACCCGCGTGAAACAATGCGAGCGCGCGTAAGTTTCTAATCGCAAAGAGAGTCCTTTTTTCCCTTGGATCAAATTACCATAAATAATGATCCCTTTGCAATATTTATAGCGACCAGGTACCCTATACGAACGCCTTTATGACCGGCCACCCTCTAACGTTCTTCTCCCCTCCCCCTCCGCGCCCCTCCTCGTATAATTTCTTCGACTTTCTCTCGTCTCATTTTAACTTTTCACCCCCCTCCCCCCGCGCCCCCGCGCGCCCCCGCATCGCGGTGTCCCGCTCCCCTCATCCTCTCGAGGCTCTCGCTCGATCGAGTCAAGTTTTCCGCCGTTTTTCTTCCTGCCTATTTCTCGCCCTCTTTCTCCCCCTCGTCCGTCTCTCCTCGTTCTCTCCCCATTCAAGGCATCGATTAACGTGTTTACCCCCCCCCCCTCTGATCCCGGGGCAGGGGGTGCAAAAACGCGCGAACAACCGCGCCGCCGACCGCAATCGACGTTCGCGGAAGATCGCGGAATCGGAAAACAAAGGGGACTTTGTGCCCGGTTGATGAGACCGAGACGTCCCCTCTCCCCCCTCCCCCCTCCCCCTCCCCCTCGTCGCGTTTTTCTTCCCTTCTGTCGGATACAACGAGGCGAGAGGAGAGGAGAGATGAGGAGAAGTGGCAGTTGGGGAATTGGTATGTTGATTATGCGCGATGGACGAGAGAGAAGAGATATCTCGCTTGTTCTCTCTCTTTCTCTCTCTCTCTCTCTCTCTCTCTATCTTCGAAGAGTAATTGCGTATTTCAATTAAGTTTCTCGTAATTTGATATAATAAGAGGATAGAGAAATTTCTAATTTTGAAGGAGATGGACGAATGATTTTGTCCGATTTTGGAAATTGATTTCAAGAGCCACTAAATTTGCGGTTGATGCATTTTATTTGATACAACGGCGAGAGCTCGAGATTAAGATGTCCGACAGATTCTTCCCTTAAATGGATTTCTCACTTGAGGATCCCGAGCCGAGAATGCGGCCTCGTTTAGCTCGATTAATTCTGTCGATTCTTTGAACCGATTATTGTGCTGTGAAGAAATCTTCAACTATGAGCAAGGGAATAATCTTCGATTAGCTATATCGTAAGAATATAAATTACGGGAAATGGAAATTTTTTAATATTTAATTTTTTTTTAATGTTTTTAATATCTATAATTTTTTAAATATTTATAATTAATTATATTTAATATTTATATCGAACTGTCTTTGAAATATTTCACATTTAAAACATATCTATGACAGGCTTGTTATTTTCACAATAATAAAACACAAATATTAGGGTGCGATACAAGATGCAATCGTCGTGATCAATTAATTAAAGCGAAGAAATCTCGAATCAATTATACAACTAATTTATGGGCTCCCTTAAATATAGATTGTATCCAATGGAACCAGAGTAAATTAGTAA